AAGCAAGTATGTAATAAGAACTACAATGGGAGAGTAATCAGAGACCAAAAACTTGACAGAGCAGCCAAGAAAAAACTGCCTGGGTACACTTGTGATCCATGCTGTCAGTCATTAATCAGTGTATTGCATTTATGTCAAAAGTTTGCCCACTTCTCTATCAGGCCCAGTCTATAATATCAAAATGCCAGTGTCTGACAATGGTCAAACTAGATTGTTATAATATGGTTTGGATGGTCAGGATGGAAAAGTTTAAACCATGTTAAAGACAAATTTTTAAAAATGTGCTTTGAATCGGGGAGACAAAAGCATGGTATTTTAACCCTGATTATGACTACCGAGAAGCCCAAACTGGACCCCATCTATATACCAAGCTAGGAACATTCAGCTCTGGGTACTTCTTGAAAACTATACCTTTGGATTTGGGGAAAGTTTGGCTCTAGACCCTGGATTCATGGCTTGAGCCAGGCAAAATATGATACAACCTAATGTATGTAGCTGCACACCTATGTGTACCAAGCTAACACAGAGGCCCAGTACAGACATTACACACAAACTGGTAAAAATGACCGAAAACCAGTCTAAACCCATAACAGTACAGAAGTTCAGCGCGCATAGACCCATTTAAAAATGTCAAAACCTGGTCTAAAATAGACCTGGATGGATGCAGTATCAAACTTAAATGATTTGGGTTAGACCAGCCTATCAAACTTTTGTATCAGATCCCCTCCCAACTCAAGTTAGGTTGCAGTCCTTCAGCATCCCAAACTACTTTGTGGGTCTTGCTAACCACCTCTCACAGGGCATTGCACTAGCCTCAGCCACACGTGTCTACTCTAGCCAAGTGGGCTCTCACAGAAGCAGCCACAAACAGAAGACAGGGCTGAGAGCCATGCCAGCTGCAGAGCTGGGTGGTGCAAGGGTATAGCCATGGCCAGACCCAGCCCTGGTTTGAGCCATCACAACTGGAAGGAGGGAGGGGGGAAAATAGTCTGCATGGCAGGGCCTTGCCCCTCCGCTGCCCAGCCTGGCTAGTCCCCCCCCCAGCCGCCCCCCGCCACAATCAGCTGGCTGTCAGCAGTGGTGGGTGGGGTGGGAGGGGAGAGGAGCAGATTCCCCCAGCCCCAACCCAGACGCAAAGCAGAACAGCTTACTGTCCTCCTTCCCACTTTTCCCCTGCAGCTGCTGACAGCCATAGGGGGCAGGGCTAGGGGCTGCACTGGTTTGCCAGGCTGGGCAGTGAGCAGGGGGGAAGCCCGCATGATGAGGGCCCCCCCAGCTGTCCTGGCTCAGGTCTGGTGGGGCTAGGGCTTCCATTCCCCCCACCTCCAACTGCCCTGCTGCCACTGACAGCCAGCCGCTGTTGAGAAGGTGGGGCTGGGAAGAGGAGCCATGCCGACCAATCAGAGGAGGAAAGCTGATCAGCGGGGCTCAGTGTTCTCCACCAGCCTACAGCTTAGAGTAAAATGAAATACTTAAACCATTTCCTCCTCGAGGTTTTTTGAACATCTGTACTTAGCCAGAGAGTTGTTTCATAATATAGACAGAGCCTTGAGAGATCATCCCAGTAGGGTGGGACAATTTTAATGGTGTTTAGTGAAAGGTCAGGGATAGAAGCAGAGGGTATAAAGAGTGGGGCTGTGGAAAGACACAAAGCTTTGAAGGACCTTGGTGAGAGAGTTAAATCAATTGTTCCCAGATCATCACACTTGGTCGGTGCATTGCAGAGAGCTTACTGGTTACATGATTCTTGCAGCTGCTAAATCACGTTTAAAAAAAGCTGAAAATTCACTGAGTTCTTTCCTAATATTAATTCTCCATGTGGTCAACTGCTGTAGCTGCCACAGGTACATTATAGCACATGATCAAAATGAGAAGGAAGGTAATCTACATAAGTCTGAATGGGGAGGGGAGGAGGGGAGCTGCCAACAGTATGATGTTGCTATTAAGGCATGACCAACACTAGAAAAAAAGAATGAGCATGCTTGACCCAAAGGGTCTACAGAAATTCAGAGAGTGTATCTGAAACCCTCACAAGAGCAGTAAAATAGGCAATGGTAGCCAACATTTATTGTATACATAATTAGTGTCAGTACTTTTGCCTGGAATAGAATAGAGTTGGCATCACATTAAAAGTAGTAAGAGGTCATAAGTTCTCTTGGATAGCTTCTACAAATTGGGACAGAGTATAAAAATAGGGAAAATGGGGACTTTTTTTTTTGGTCCAATATGGCTAGTCAGTTACATTAAATAAACTAATTAAAAATACCCCTGGCATTAACGTGACCTTGAGTAAGGGGAAGTAGAACTTTTCCACACAAGAGCCACTGACAGATGTGAAAAAAACAGTGCTTCACTGGAAGCTTAAGATAAAAAGCCCTGCTGAAGCTCCCAATCTATACAGACATTGGGGAGTTGGGTCAAACTAATGTGATGCCTCTTCTGGGTACGCACTGCACTTGGTGCAGGGGTGCACTGAGCTGAAAGTAAAGCACTGGGTTTTTTCAAGTCTGTAAGCAGCCTTGCTATAACATGATGGAATGTACAGTCTTGTGCTTTCAGAATAACTCCACAAAAATTATTTATGAAAATATCACACTAAAATTGCAATGGTTTTTTATTTTTTTGGTTTCCTTAGGCATTTTAAATTGAATTTGTGTTTTTGGCAAGAAAGGATTATTCAAGGGTAATATACTATTGCTCATCAAGCCACTGAAACAGTAGCCTCCTGGAAATCTTTCTTGTTGATAATTAGTATTGATGGGAAAGAGGAGATTGTCATATTGAATGAAATAGTTTGAATGTTTGTAAAGGTTGCCCATTAGCCAGTTTCAGGAAGAAGATAGGATTTATCTCCTTATCTAGCTCATTGTTTTGGGGCTACGTGAAAAATGTCCTGACTTCACTTAAAGCCTTAATTTAAATTGTATCTTTAGAAGTCTTTTACAAAGAAAGCAAATATCCTGAGTTCCGAGACATCAAAGCCTAGGGCCTTTTAACCAGACTGGTAAAAAAAAAAGGTATTTACAGTGATATGGAAGAAGTCTCCCCAAGAGTAATTTAAAATGCTCAACAAAAGAATCTGTTGAGTAAGATCCGAGCCCAAATTTGGGAGTTATGACAAATTGAGTAGGAGGAGCCCACTGACAGCAGCTCACTCAATAAAAACCTGTAACTTACTGTCCCAATTTGGAGGTGACTTCACTTGCAGAACAACGAAGGAAGAATCGCAAGTGTAGCCCGGACCAGATTGATCACCTGACCCAACCTCTCCGTGAACACGAATCTCTTAGTTCACGCTGAAGCCGCGGAGCGCCCGAAAGGGACTGAAGGAAGGGGACTTAGTCCTATCACTGCTGAGCCCAGCTCATTGAATCGTATTGCTGAGGCCAGCCTATTGAACCGTACTACTGAGGCGAGCTCATTGAATCATATTGCTGAGGCCAGCCTATTGAACCGTACTACTGAGGCGAGCCCATTGAACCGTACTACTGAGGCCAACCCATTAAATTGTACTACTGAGGAATGAAACCATATTTTGGTATTTGGCTTCTCGGAATTCTAGGATTGTAAGTATATTATGAAAAATAACAGTATTGATTCAAATTTAACTTTTAGTTGTAATTGTAGTTGTTTTTGTAACACTAATTCTTATAGCATTGTTTGGGAAGGAAGTGCATTCGGAGCATTGTTTCTGATACATGTAATTATTGTGTTTTTAATGTTTGTGGTACTTCTTAAAGCCAAGCAGTGTTATATGCGTAGCAAAGAGTTTTAAAATAAAATTGTGTTGTATGAATTAAGTGTGTAATCATTGTGAAATCGTGCAATCAGCTAACTACTCCCCCAGCCAGTGCATCAAAACGAATCAGTAAATTGTGTGGGATTTTCTCTATTCCATAACCCACTAGAGACAGAGATAGTGGTGATATTTTTTATGCTGGTTTAGATCTGCATCTTACCTAATGGCTAAACATTTCTGAGCTTTTGTAAATAGTTTTTTTTTTTCCCAATAAAATCTGTATAAAAAAATCAAACTTATTCAACCGTATTGTGGGACCACCTCTAAACAACCCCAAACATAGCACTACAGTTTTGTTTCTTCCTCAAACAACTTTTTACAGTCTCTGAGAGATCAGTTTAATCAGGTTACTTGTATTTAGTTTAATGTATGTATTTATTTTGGCTGGATGTAGGATATAAATGGTACCTCTGCAAGTCTAAATACCTTATAATAAAATTCAATTGACAATACAATATAATCCAAAAATATTTTAATCATTAATTATTCATGTTGTAGTATTTCCTAGGGGATCCAGTCTCATTTGGGCTCTAATGTGCTAAATATTGTACAAACACAACACAGAATGATAACTTCTGCACCAAGGAGCTTACAGGCAGACAAATGATGATACAACAAACAGAAGTGAAGTCACAAGGAAATAGAAGTAAAATGTCAGCCCAAAGAACATCCAATGTAACTATTATATTTTTGTTTTTGTAGACACCCTAGAAAAGAATAGTTTTATGGAAGGATTCAAAGGACAACAATTAAGTGGACTTGTATATGCTTACAGGGAACTCCTCCCATGCTTAAAGGGCAACATGGGCAAAAGTGTAACAAATGAAAGAAGAAAGCTGTTATCATAACTAGAGCAGAAGCAGAAATTTTGCATGAGATGCCAGTAGAGGGAAGGGGAGGGGGAAAACTTCAAAATTAAGACAGATCATTTGTATTTGAAATTACAGGAAAGCAGGAACCAGTGACAGGATGCAGAGATCCAGCTGAGTGGGGGTTGTGTCCAAGCCCTAGCAGGATGCTCTGATTAGCCCAGCAGGGAACTGATAGAAGTGTTTATCACCCTGTGCCAGGCCACTGTTTGTGCCTGCCACTTTAAGGGCCAGAAGGCAGCAGCCAGCAGGTGCCTGATTAGGGCAGCCATTTTAGATTCAGGGCTGCCCATATAAACAGGGCAGTTCCTGCGCTGGGGGCTAGGCAACAACATTGCTTGGCTGGAGGGCTGCTTGTATCATCTGGAGGTAAGGAAGGAGCTGTAGGGGATGGATAGGAGGCTCCTGGTCCTGGGTATGACCTAAAACTGCACCCTGCTGGGAGTGGGTGGCCTGGTGGGGCTCTCAGGGGCATGGGAGCCCCCAGGAAATGCCAGGCAAGTTACCACCCCGGTGAAAGGCAGGTCGGGGCGCCTTAACCCCTAGCCTCCACGACTGGGTGGGTGACCCCTTTGTTGGAGGGACCAGAGGATGGACCCTTGGAGAGTGAGAAAAGGTCCATAGACTCAGGCCTATCTGAATTCCCCCTGGCTGGCCCATGCTGGGGCCAGGACTGGAAGGGTCAAAGGGCTGGGGGCCCACTGTGAGGAATGCTGAAGAGCTGAGGGCCTGGGGTTCTGACTGGTCTGGAGGTTGGCCAGGGCTACAGTCAAAGGTCCTGGTGGGGGGGGAATCACACCTGAAGGGGGATCAGTTCAGGGAGTTATGTTGCCTGGTATGATGGCAGAAGTCTGCCTAAAGGGAGGAATCCAGGTGGGGTTCAATAGTAGGGTTCTGGGGCCCAGTGTGGGGGCTGGTGACAATGAGAACATCTAGATGCCATCTGCGAGGCTTGGGCTGCGGTGTATGAGAGAAAAGGAGCCGCAGATAGCACCCCCTGGCATTGGGGCAGGAAATGGGCAGCCTCTTGCTTATTAACATCTACTAATAACAAGGTGTAGAAGGTGAGAACGTGGGCGGTTAGCCCAGGAACAGGTGGGCAGGCCACTGGGAAGTCAGCCCCAAGCAGGCCCTCTGTTACACACCCCCTAACTCAGTGTTTATCACCCCATCAAGAAAACAACAAAGGGACATTACCAGGTATTTGCTGATTCTACCTGTTGATTCAACACTGATTGTAGCCAGCATGTGGTCTGCTAGCTAATACACTGACACCTCTTTACAAGGCAGAAGGGAGGAGGGAATTCCTGCTTAGCAGGGAGTGGTGAGAGGGAGTAGGGGGAGCAAACAGCTCTTCTTAAATGGCTTTTCCAAGGAAGGACATTAAGCTACCTGTTGATTAGCTCAAAAAAGCCTGTCTGCCTTGGTCATCTCCCACAGCATGAACTATAGTCAGCATGTAGTCTGATAGTTAATGGAGAGGTGTCTGCCTAAGGCAGAGGGAAGTGGGGAATAATCCCTGCTTAGCAGGGAGAAGGCAGGCAGGTGTTCTGTGCCTTCAAGTCTCTGCCGAACTGCAGTCAGGGAGCAGAGGGGAAGGGGCCAGCCCTGTTGTGGAGCAGAGATCCCCTCCCAGCCTAGAGAGCATGTTGGAATGCTGGGGGTGTCTGGTTTATCTTAAACCAGCAAGGGGTCTAGGACAGATGTTGCATAAACTGGTTTGAGCCAAATAAGTTAAGTCTGATACTACATTCAACCAGGTTTATCTCAACTTGAGTTCAGCCATTTTCAAACTGGTTTATGTGCACTGAACATCTGTTCTGTTATAGGTTTAAACCAGTTTCTGATCACTAAAACCAGTACATGTGTAATGTCTGTCCCTAGCCTTAGAGCATGCTTAATTCCATCCCTATTCAACAAACCATTTTAAGAAGCGCTTAAAAGTACAAGCTTGAAATACTTTGCTGATTTGGGACCTAACTCTTCCATTAGAGTGTCTAGCCAATGACAAAAGCAAACCAGAACTGCAGAAGACTGAATACTGGTGGCTATCATGAAGCTTTAAAAGTAAACTTTACCTCCCTAGCTATGGGCGTGAATATTAAATACCATAAGAACTTCAGTGTGTCAATTTGTGCTGACCTTTTGAATAGGAAAAATGTTACCATTTTGCCTATTAAGCTTTCATTATTATTAGCACAAATGTACCTTGATAATAAAAAAGAGAATTCTTTATCTCTGACGGTTTCATTTAAAACCACAGTACAGTATCTGCCAGAAAAATTTACATACCTGGAAGCTCCTTATACACAACAATACCTGAAAATGAAATGCATTGTTGATATAGTTTATTATACTGGAAGATTGTATCACAGGTAGCATGCACATGCAGTACATCAGAGGAAAATGCAGGAGGGTTTGGTTGGAATACTTTAATTTTGTCAGGTGCACTGCTGAAATTAATGAAAGTCAATTAGACATATATTTGACTGCTGTTGCAAACTGAATAATGCAAGTAATAACAGAGGCACCTATTCAATTCCCAATGAACACAAGTAATTCCCATTATCTTTAAAAGGTGTAGGAGTTATGAATTATAGGCAAGAGCTGATAGCATTGCCTATAGTTAAGGTTTCCCAACACTTCCCATTACTACATCCTGTTGTTAGTTGCTTATAAATTTGCCAAGCTTTAGCTGCTGAAGCTGAAATTTCCTAAGCTGGGTAGCTGCCTGAGGCTGATTTTTCTCCCCCCCCCCCCCTTCAGCTGAAGTGGTTCATCTGTTTCCAAGAACAAGATTGGGAAAAATATGTTGTTATACCCATTTTATTTTATTTTATTTTATTTTAAAACAAATCCTTCCAACTATTCCTTTCAGAACTTTTAGTGCCTCCTGTGGCGGGTCAGTAGGGGGTGCTCCTGTGTTGAGCCACCCACCTCCCTGCGCCCGACCACCTTCCAAGCTCTGAGTGCCTCCCTAGGGGTGCCTCACGTCTGGCTGACCCCCCTTCCTGGAGCACACCTGCTAGCCTGGGGGTTCCACTGCCACCATCCAGAGCTCTGGACTTAATTTGGGCTCTGTGCACTCTGGGAAACACAGGCCTAGTAGCCCTCAAGGGGACTTGATTCACTTCAAGAAGTTGGGATGCTTCCCTCAGTCAGAAGCACAAGTGGTGGTCTCCCTTAGTTTGTGATCCAAGGGGACCCCAAGGCATAATCTAGACCCACTCCCAATAAGTCTCCCACACTAGGTACAAAGGAGAACTTTATTGGTTACAGAGGGTAGGGTTAGAATAGGGTACAAGGTAGAGCATTAACAGAGAAATCCCACAGAGCAAACACCTGTGGCTGGGGTAGCCTTTGATCTCACATCTGAGTTACTGCAAGCTATATATCTAGTTAGATCTTGGGTAGCTTACTCACAAGTATCATCCAGGGGCAGGTGGAGAATCCCTCTGGGGGCAGGTGGTTCCTTGATCATGAGTTTTGAGAGAGAGAGCCAGTTTCAGATGGTACAGCTCTTCTTTGTTCCTGAGTAACCCTCATGGCTGCCACCCCTCACACCCCCCGGGCAGTCCTTAACTTATATAGCCCTTGTGACCTCATTTACCTGGTCCAATGGAGGGCAGCATCTGTTGGCTGTCAGCCAACCAGTTTGAAATACATCACTAGTTGCTGGGCAGACTCTAGCTCACCAGGAGGAAAGCCCCTCACCCAGGTATGCGATACTAGTCACGTAGGCAGAGGGGGCAGGTTTCCCCCCTCCCTCAGGAATGTATCCAGCTCAGGTTACCTGAAGAGATAAGGTAAGGATGTGTCTCTTGGTTGGGTGCATCCTAATTAAAATTGTCACAGAGCTGAGTTTTTGGAAGGGAAACAAAGGTGGCTTTCTGCCACACCTATACGTTGAAGCACAGACTTGAAACTTGGCAAAGATGTTGCCCTGGTGCCTTGGTATCCCTGTAAAAATCCACTCAAATCTGGCCTTGTTATAAATGGTCACAGTCTTCACATGTTCAATGAGGACTTGTTAAAGTTAGATCTCAAAACTCTCTGAAGTTTCCATCTTTGTTAACAGTCCCTCAGCCCAGAGCTGTAAAGGGTAAGACAATTTTCTTTGCAATTGCTCTTTCTAATAGCCAGGGCTGCCATAGAACTGAGAGCAAAAAGACTGTCTCCTGTGGTCTGAATGCTTCTGCTACTGTTGGTGTTTGGACAGTGAGAAAGAAGAATGGGGAGGTAAGTGGGGACAGTGGGGAATAGAAATTACAAGAGCCAGAACCTGAGGAAAGGTAGAGTAGAAGGAAAACTGCAGCCATTGAGGAATATGGGTAGGAGTAGAAGGAAGGTACAGGACAGGGGATGTATAGAAGACTGGTGGGGAAGGCAGAAGCCAGGAGTTGAAGGAGTAGAAAGAAACAGGTTGAGAGAAAGTGAGAATCAGCATGATGGATTTAAAACAGAGAGCACTGGGGCAGGATCTGGGCTCATAGAAGCAGCACAGAATAGGAGTAGAGGAGTGGGATAGTAGGAGAAAGGGTGAGAAACAGGGAAGAACAGTCTCTGCCTATTAGATATTCTGGAATTGAATCCAAATTTAGATATTTAAAGTTCCTGTGGCATCAACAGAGTGCTGTGACCCCCCGGCGGAGTGTTTCAGCACTCCCTGGTGGCCACTATCCACAAAGAAAAGCAAGCAAACCTTCACTGACAGAACAAGTCTACAGCATGGATGTACAAGGCTAAACCTTGTCGCTGCAGCTATTTTCCATGGAGACCCCAGAAGTGACAAGGCTATGACAGCATGAGGCCGGGGTTTTCATGGAAACTGGCCTCAGCAGCACTGGCACAGCATGCGGCTGGGCAGGGAACTGGTGTGGGGCCAGGGCTGGGATCTTAGAGTGGTGACAGTGTGGTCCAGAGCTGCGGAAGAGCTGTGATCCGCTGCCCGCATGCCCAATACAGGAACATGCAGGCAGTGGATCGCAGCTCTGCCCCAGCTCTGGACCACACTGTCATCGCTGCAAGTTCCTGGCCCTGGAACAGCTCTCGACCCATCTGTGTGCCCTGCCAGTGCTGCTGGGGCCGGTTTCCATGGAAATCCTGTCTTCACACTGTCACAGCTCTGCTGCTTCTGTGACTCCATGGAAACCAGCTGCAGCAACCCAGGCAGGGGCTGCTGAGAAATGGAGTCCGCTACAGGCCCAATCTAGTCCACGGGCCAGAATTTGCTTGCTCCTGCTATAGGAATATCATTATGATCCTACAGGATGGAATTTCATTTCTGTTACTTTGCTTAAAAATACGGACACTTACACCAAAGAAGCCATTATGTTTGCGAGTTTTAGGATTCAAAAGTTAGGAAATGCCAAAACTGAGGCCAACTCTGTACACTTGAGTGAGCCCTCATACACTTGCCAATGTTTAATTACATGAACATATGCTATTTTCCACAGAGTGTTTTCTCGTTCAGCATACAGGCCGAGGCTGTTCGGGGTCATGCCATGAGAGAAAAGTGTTGTCTCTAGGACCCAGGATACTTTTGTTGCAGAAGCTGAAAGTTGGGAAGAGAATGAGGCACAGAATGAAAATAAAAAATAAAGGGAGGTTTTGAGGATTAAGAGAACTGCCAGTCACTCTGGCACACTGGCTTCTATCCCTGCCTTGAGACGCCGGCAGGTCACTCGGCCCAGAATTCTCATGACTGGCCACTACTTGTATGTGGCCAAATCTCTGAATCCGAATTGAATCAGGAGACCAATTAAAAGGTCTGAATCAATCTGAAGCTCTCCAAATTGATTCACAGAAGATTCAGAGAGTTTTGGTGATTCAGGCAGTCCCCGCACGCTGCAGCAGAGAACTGGACCTGGACGCGGAGCTGGTAAGTAGGGGGCAGGGGAAGGGGGTTAGAGGATGGGGGGGGACCCCCACCAGGCCCCATCCTCTACCTGGTCCCCCAGCCCCCCATGGCTTCCCTACCCACCCCAGCTCCCAGTGGTTTAAAAAAAGCCCTCACTTGCTGGGTAGTGCCTGGTGGGGGGGTGATCCCCTTCTGCCCCCGCTG